CTATTTGGAGTAATATCGAAGATTTCAAGTACGCACGCGACGAAGATAAAACTTTTGCAAATTACTTCCAAAGGTACGAAGGTCTATATGATTTTGACTGCAAAGATTGGTCAGACGCACATAAAGTACACCTATTACTAAGAAAATTAGGCACAGGTGAATATACCAAATTCGTAGATTATATCCTTCCCAGAAAAACAAGTGAGTTAACGTTCAAAGAATCCATAAGACTGCTAACGGAACTTTTCAGCCATAGTACTTCACTATTCCATAAAAGATGGAAATGCTTGAACCTTACAAAAAAGGACAGCAAAGATTATATAACTTTCGCATCCATTGTTAACAAATATTGTGACCACTTCAGATTATCGGAACTCAGCGCGGACAATTTCAAATGCTTAATTTACGTCCAAGACCTGGTTTCAACCAAAGACACGGAAATGAGAAACATACTTTCTAAATTGGAGAGTGAACAAGATCTGACACTTCAAAAACTAGCCGAAGACTGCCAGAGATGCATCAGTGTGAAGAAAGACTCAAAAGACATAGAACAAGCTGGCATAGCACACGTACGCAAAGTATGAAGGCAAACAAGTTTTCCCTCTTCAAAAACAAACCAAACCGATTTTCCCGACTCAAGAACAGGTAAAACAAAATTCAGTAGTTCAAGTCGAGTCAGAGGCAGTCCGAAACAGAGTCACGTTCAGACAATTACTGCAAGACATTGGTATAGTGATACTGGTCGAGACTATACTGTTCTCTCTACTAAACCTGATTGTTCATACTAACACTTCTACTTCTCTGTAGATATTCCTGTTCTTCTTTATTGGTTCTACCTTGGACTATCACCGTGGTACAAGGAACCGAACCATAACAAGAATCCTAAACAAGAAACAAGGGATAAACTTCTTCTCCTGTTTATACGACTGGAGAGAATGTGAACAGGAAAATAGGTGAACCTATCTACTCCTATTTATGGGGGATAGAAAAAATAAATAAGTAAATAAAAATAGAATAAAATAAATAATTAGTGAATAAAATTTCAGAGTTCAGGCACAGCAATTAGATCAGAATATATGCATTTGGGTAGAGTTAGTTATAGAATTGACAGTATGACATCTGTTAACTATGCTGGTAAAGTTTGTTTTTTTTTTTACTATGAAAATGTATTGCTCATATTTTTAGCATAAAAGTGCATTTTTATACTTTCATAGTGTTTTGACCCCAGTTTGGGGGTTAACTATTTGCCCATATTTGAGACCCTAACAGATGTTACCACCCCAAGTCAAGGCGAACCTGGGAACAACAGAGGCAGTTCCATGCACCTTAAACCCTTCCAAACAAAAGGCCTCACTGCTGGATGTAGTTTATAGTCATACCAGAACACCCTATTTTTGAATTAATAAAATATATCAAAGTTCACCAGCATATAAAAAAATAAATATTTTTAATGACATGTCCTTTCTGAAGATTGATGCATAGCGCCATGACTGTCAATTTCTTTACAATCGGAATTCACAAAACTTTTCTTGGAAAAGATAGTGAAGTGGTTTTCCATTGCCTCCTGTTTTAAAATTAAAGTTGTCCTTCTAGATTGGCTGTCACCCATATCTAGAGAGCCCAGTCTACATTGTTATTTAACCCATAACTGAGAGAGAAATGAATTCATGCCTTTCCCAAGAACACAAGTGCAAAGCAAACCTCGACTTTGGTAATTCAACTTTATAGATTTAAGCACCATACTAAATTGGTAGCTAAGTCATTTTACAGTTAAGATTGCTTGACATAACCTTATGTTCTAACATTTTCTTTTGTCATACTTCTTGCTTGTGGATCTTCTTTCTGCTTCTTGCTTTCCAATCAAGTTTGATATTTAAAAATTTAAATGCAATGTCAATAATTATCTTCCATCTTCTTAAATCCTGATTTTTTTATTGTTCTCTATCATTAATAATATTTTTCTTTTTCTCATTATTTCACATTGATAGCAGTTACTCTACCTGCATGCCATTGCACCATTTTACTCCATAGCTGAACATAAACAGATAAATTTTATACCAATAATCAAGTCACCTGTAATCAAATTTTAACACTAATCCAGACAAAAGTTCAGATTTCTCTTGTACTAACAATGAATTGTCATTAGTTTGACAAAGTTAGTAAAAGAAAAAAAAAGGTAAACTGTTCCTGTTTGTTTTTTCTGCATTTATTTTTGCCTCCAAGTGAACTAAGGAAAATGGGTCAAATGTAAATATGATACATTATCCATAACATGCAAGGTCAAACTTACAAAAGAAATAAATGACTTGGCAAGCAGCAGTGTGTCTGAGAGAATCATATATTATATATATATATATATATATATATATAGCATTTGTTTTTGTATTGGAGTCATTTATTTAACCCAGTTAAAATAGGCAATCTGCTGTCCCATCTAAATGATGCCATATTAGCAGTGACCAGCCTGTATTTGTAAAAATGTACATACAGTAAATGTTTAGTAATTGATCATAAAGAGAATGGGCAAAAGAATAAGGTCAACTTATAATTATATCAGAGTCTATATATCTCAAGAAAAACAAACAAAAAAAAAAAAAAAAAAAAAAAAAACAAACAAAAAAAACAGAATACTGGCAAATTTTGGTCATTGATCTGATAGTGCCACGCTTCTTCATCTTGTTTCTTATTTCTACACTTAATTTGATTCATCATTATGAGAATAAGTAGCTCAGAACCTGCATAACAACCACTTGATGGGTTAAACAGAATAGTCTAAGAAAAACACTATTTAATAATGGAAGAAAAACAAACGTAATTCATAATTGAAAATGTCTATACATATGCAGACACACAAACAATTTTTTCCCTTAACCGATTAATTACATGAAAAGCAAACAAAGATAAATCTATATACTCTGGAAATTAAGATTAAGTTTCTAAATCATTCAAGTATTGTAGTAGCAGAGAATGGATGTGCAAATAGAAGAAATATACAATATATTTGAACATGACTAAGAACAGATAATCAGTTATCCAGATTATCCAAACAAAAAATTTCAATGTCCCATGAGTATTTAAATTTACAACTTTGTCCCAAATACAACTTGAAATTTGATTGGTTTATTGTTGTTTCAATGTCTGTTAAGAGAAAAACAGTTGATTGTTTAAAGCAGGGGATTGAAATTAAGCGAATCTTGAAATAAAAAAATAAATAAATAAAAAGATATGTTGAAGAATAAAAATCAAGGGAAAATCTGTAGTAGTATCTTCATTCATGCTAGAAATTTATTCTGAGTATTTCATTTGTTTCAACTGAGAGAGTTTGCCATGTCTGAAGAGAAAGATGGTAAGATTGTACCGTCTGAATCATGGTGTAAAAAGCATTGTGCAACATGAAGGGAAAAAAAAAAAAAAAAAAAAAAAAAAAAGAGAATGACAATTAAGAAATTCAACCAAGCCATTCATTGGTACTGGGGAAGGGGGCTTTGAAACAAACAAAAATTAAAGCATTCCCTCCACCAACTTTATATTGCAAGACAAAGATACAATTTTCCACAAACAAATTCACAGTGGTGAAGCACTACAAATGTTTAATCATGGCCTATTACCCAATTGGTTAAAGTGTTTCAAAGAATATTATGGCATTAGACAATATTACATTTTTGAAGAAGCCTATGGATGGAAGAAATCAGATAGAAATTACAAGCCATCATATATGAAGAACATTAGAAACTTGTACAATGCTGATGAAAGTGGATTGTTTTGGTAGACAAAACACTTGCATTTGCAAAAGAAAAAAAAAAAAAAAAAATGCATACATTGAGACAAAGTGCAGAAGGACTGCATTGTTTTTTTTGTTTTGTTTTTTTTTTTAATTACTGCATTCTGCACTGGGAGTTATGTTAATCCACAGTGCTTAAAAAAAAAATTCATAAGAACTTGTTTTTCAAGTACAAATCATCAAACAAGACATCAATAACATTCACTTTTTTGTCCTAATTTCAGGAAGAATTGGTTCTTGCCATCTGATTACATTTAGAAAGTGTTGGATTAAATGTGCTCTTGTCAACAATATGGCAGAGAGAGCTAAACCATATGAATCAATTTCAATTTGAAGCACCAGGTGTATATATATATATATATATATATATATATATATACATACATTTCTTTTCCCCACCACTGTTACAATGAATTGATCAGTGGCTAGGATCAAAGTGTAGTATCTGCGCTTTGTGAGCTGCCGGGTCGGGTGTCTGTCAAACTCTCTGCTTGCAGAGAGGAACCCGAACGAAGCTCCACCGAAGGGTGGGGTTTTCGCTCGGGGAGGTTGATTTGAACTAGCCCGCTTGGACGGGTTTAGATGGGTTTTATTTTTGGCTGGGCCTACGGGCTCAGACATACCCACATTAAAAAGGCCTTGTGCCACATTCAATTCCTGTGGGTGAATTGATAAATACCATCAGGGAATCATTGCAACAATCAAAAATTATTATTATTGCTATAACATGTTTCATGCTGTTAGTGAAGACAGTATAGATTATTACAAATTATCAAGTCATTCACAGTGAAAGAGACCTTGTTCATGATCATTGATTCTTGGGATATCATCAAGCCATCAATAGAAATTGGTGCAATGAATTGCATGTCAGTAGCTGTGCAATAAAATGGACACATGTCTAGATCAAGAGATGACCCAGGAAATCATTGGCAATTGCAGACAGTTGGTTTGGTTGATTTTGTTTAGCAGCATATCAACCGCTATGGGCTATTTAATGCCAAAATCTAAACATTTTGTATGCAATTTTTTTTTTTTAGATATTAATGGTTTAGTGATACAAGCCTTACTAATTAACCCATAGCTAGGGAGAGAAGATGTAGATTCTTACTTTTCCCAAGGGTATTTTCATGCAGGTGAATATAATGAAAACAATTAAAATTAGAACTTGTTGATTAACAATTCCAAGCTATTATACATTACACCACCAGCACATCCAAGTTTACAGCACCTAGTATGCCTAAGTGGTCACCCATTTAAGTACTGACCATGCTTGACATTGCTTAACTTTGGTGATCATATGGGAACCAGTATTTCAATGTGATGTGACCATACACTGCAGACAGTTGGAATTGGGAGATTTTGTCAAGATGAAGATTGGTACTTGGGTAATAGATGATAATGACATTGGAACAGAGACAATCAAGAATGATCAGATTATTGACATAGAAGAACATTCAGAGATTACAAACAATGTAGATGATTAAGAAAGTCAATTACACTTCCTGCAATCACTATTAATGAAGCTATGGAGTGATATGAAAGAAAATACAAAATCAATGATGTTAAGTTGTTGCATCTTCAAATCATTCAAGCAATATTGACAGGTTTTCCTCACAAAACAGTGAGAATCATCAACTTAATGAACTTTATATAAATTTAGCATTTTCAATGAACTCTGAACAGAAAAGTTTTTAAAATTATGTCATGATTCCTTGAATTTTCAGTTCCATTTATTTTCTTATTAAAAAATTTCATAATGTACTTATATTTTTAAAATAAAATATCACAAATTTTTAAGCATTAAAAGTGTTTTGATGCATTTTATCAAACAAAAGTAAACCTTTTAAACCTGCTTCATTGTCTATTTGGTATGGCTTCCATTTTCATAATTGGATCAGTTATCAGAACAATCAATTATGAACAAAACACTTCCTGCCCATCTCATTCAGATAACCAATGTTCAAACGTATATAAAATTAGGTTTTCCACAAGCAGAATACAGTTGCTGACTTCATGATTAATATCTCCAAGATGGTAATAAGCAAACAAACAAAAATAATTATTTTCCTTTTACTAACTTTTTTCATCTTAACATTACTGGAATGAGTTTATGACTTATTTCAATAGGTAATAATTTGCTCATGTCTCAGCTCAAAAGGACTGTCATTATAACTTGTTACTTAGTGGGGGGGATGAAACATGTTGAAAAAATGAGGATATTTATATTCATTTTGTTTCCGTTATGGTGCATAACTAGAGGCAGGAATATGATGAATAGCAGCGAATGTACTTAAGAAAATGCCATCAGTTTACTACATAAGTTACATCATATATAGACAAGAAAGAAACTTAGGAGAAAGAAAAATGTCATGGTAACATCAAATGAAGTAAACAATTTTAGAACCAACTTCTGTTAAGTGGCTACAACTATTTTCAAGAGAGAAATAAAATAAGTGTCCATTTGGATCTGGACAAATGATAAACAATAACTTACTGACCTACATACCATTTACGTAATAAAATTCATGAGAACTGAAATTGGAAAGTACAAATAATCATTGTCTCTCAAGAAACACATTTCTGTTTGTTTTTTTGTAAGCTGGGGACTAAAAAATAAAACAAATTTGTTTTATCTTTTAGGTTTTCTTATTTAATAAAAACAAAACAAAAACTAGAAATTTTTGTACATATTTACAAAATTAAAATCTATTTAAAAGTTTTAAAGCTTAAAAAATAAAGAAAGGCAAAGGTGTAATTTTATATAAAGAATCAGTTTACAGTACAACAATCCTTTCTTTAGCTTTTACTTCTCTTGGCTATGAGTAAATATGTAATCTTTGTTATGCCATTAATGACTTTTTTTTTTTAATTATCACCAATATATGCAAGTAAATATTCTAAGATTTTAATTAACAAGAAACCCTATTATCTTTTCTTGCAATCAAAATTAGTTTTTTCTGTTTCCATTTTCCACTGAATGGATATATTCACCTTTGCTTTTACAAGTACACAAACAGAACAACATCCACTCAAAAATTCATATATTAGAAAATTAATACCTCTCTGTGTACATATTGTTAGTCAATAAGATTACTATCATCAAGAAATAAACAGAAAAGTCACATTAGAAAGAGTTTAAAATATTTATTCATTAGATTAATAACACAGACTATCTTTTCATCTTGCTGGTGAGCACCAAAAATAAGATCTATATGCATAAAAAATAATTTCTTACAGCAAGAATGTGAGGGGAGTGGTTCCCCAACAAGAGTCAGCCAAATAGAAGTCTACCAACAGAAGAGACGAAAAAGAAAAAAGATGTTTTTAGCTTTTTTATCAACACTGAGTGTAGCTTGAATCTGCAGCCAATTTTTAAAGCAACCAGAATTTATGTTATTTATGTTTTCATTCCTGATAATGTAATTCAAAACCTCTGTTAGATACAGTCCAGATTTCTTGGGACATCATCTATAAGGGTTATCTTGTTCTGAGCATCAGAAATTTTCACTGGGGCAGGTTAACTTATAAAGTATGATCATTTTACTAACTTTGGTTACTATTGCAAAAGAATGTATTTATATATTTATGACTGCATTTGACAAAAATATGCTATATGCTAAAAACAGTCTGGAATGAATTAAGTTACAATACCCCCAGAAAGAACTTTTAAAGCTATTCCAATTTTCCAATGTCCTAATTTTCTTTTTCTATATGCAATCACATTACATTTTTCCACTCCTAATAAACTAATTATGCCATTATAATTGAAGGAATTAATAAACTATTTGAAACAAGCAGTTGTTTAGACAGTATGATTTGTCAGAAAAAACTTAAGTATTCTTTATCAAATATTTTCTTGCAACTACAAACATGCTTTTTTTCAACAGGCACACATACACAACTATATTATGCACTTAAATAAATCTCACATTCCAAGTACATCATTGTCAGTCATGTGACTGAGTGTAGTCAGAGGGTTGTTGTGAAGAAGAGCACCGAAACAATTCCCTCCAGATATATTTGGGTTGGAAGCCAAAGACGTATATATTCATGCATAGTGTGTCTTAGGCAAGTAAAACAGACAGAGTCCATCCCTCTCCAGATCAAATCAAAGCTGATGTCCTCCAATCTTAAGGTTTGTCTTGACATTTGGTTGTTGATTCCATCAAGAGAATGCTTCACTTTGGCCATTAACTAGAAAGCCTTCCCTCAAGTGATGCCATGTTATCACTTCAATGGCCACATACATAGCCTACCCTTTGTTAGATAGCTGTTGACCCTATAAGAAGGTTCATCCTCCATTTGATAGGTCATTGTTTTTTCTTTTAATACTGCTGGTTGTTCTTTCCACCAGAAAACCCTGGTGGAAGAACCAGTAGCACTCATCAATTGACTGCACATAAATAAATGTGTATGTATATAACACAAAATTCTGATGTGCTAGTTGGAAAAATTTTGTTTCCTCATGCTACTAAAGAATGCAATTTTCAACAAAATCAACAATATCATTTATGCAGTGTCAAACATTTTTGTTCAGTTATTGTAATTATATCATTTTCTGTACAATGAAGAATGTCAAATGGGCACAACAAAATAGTAACACATTTAATTAAACTGTAATTTCAACTTCAACATATAGCAAGTTTGTAAATCTCATTTTAAACAAATTCAAAATCACCCTTTCTCCCCTTATTAATATAAATAATTGTATTTAAAACCAAATAAATATGAATAGGTCTTTTAATGTTACAAAGTCAAAAATATTAAATATAAGTATTTATATTATTAATTAGATAAATGGTAATTTCAAAATTAGTTTTGCTTCTATATATAATGTACAAATGTGTGCATATGGGATAACGATATATAAATTTTTATATATCAAAAACAGTTTGGAGGAAAGATGTATGACAAAGTGAAAAAAGTTGTTGTGTCATGAGTTTCATCCTTTAGGATTCCATCCGAGGTTTGTTTGCATTGATGCGACTATACATGTACATAAACAAGAGATAGGAAAATTTTATTTTTTTTTTAAATGTGTTTTGAGTTTTTTTTGTTTTTTTTTTTTATTAATGTGTTTTGGGTAAATAGTCTAGCCAGTTTGGTTTAGATACTTTTTCTCCTTTTGTTTCCATCATCTTTGTTATTAAATATCCCACATTGTGATAATAGAAGATCTGCCAAGAAAGGTGAAATGTTGTCGGAACCTGGATGCAAATTTACTTTGGATGAACTAGCAATTAAATATATCCATTTGATACTGATTTACTTGATCATGTAGATCAGGTAAACATACAATAGAATTTACATATGAAATGGAAGAAAGCAACACTTTACCTTTCCTAGATATCATGCTCTACTGCATGGACAGTAACTTAAAACTTAGTGTCCACCAAAATTCACCTAATAAAAATGATCTGATAAATTTCTATTCCCATCATAACGACAAAATAAAATCTGGAATAATCATTAAATTCTACTTAAGAGCACTCAGAATTTGCAGCCCTCAATATTTACACAAAGAACAGAAATACATTGAAAAATACTTTCAAGACCCTCCAATACCCTAAGTATTTCATATTCAATGCAAAACAAAGAGCTTGTAAAATATAGTCCAATGAAGTCCTAAAGGACAAAATGTGTTGCACAAAAACTTTTTCATGTATGTATATGTATATACACATACACAATAATTTCCTTGAAAATAATACACATATTTTTACTGTAAATTACAGGTGATGGTAGGGGGGTGCATATTATAGCTTTAAGCAAAAATATTTTTTTCATTCTTGATTTATAATAATAAATATGTATATGTTGTTCTAAAATAAGAATTTTTATTTTAAATCCAATAATAATAATTGTAACATTTTTTGTCAATAAATTTATGTTTATCAGTAACCACATTTTTTATTTGGCAAAAAAATAAAAAATCTATAAAAAGGCCAGTTTCAAAGAAAAGAGGATATCAAGTTAATAATTTATTGAAATTTTAATTTTTATCATCATCATCATCACTTTCTATTATAGATTCTATATCTAAATTGTCATTAAACAAATTATCATTCACAATATTATCTTCATCCTGTTCAAAATTATCTTGGGCCTCTTCATTCTCTTGCCAAAGGATATCATCTTCAGAACCATCCATAGTTGTGAGATTAAACTTCTTGAAACCTCTCTTTATAACATCCTCACTGACAAAATCCCAAGATTCCTGAATCCATTTTTCTAATAAGTTCCAACTCTGGTTTTTTCCTGAAAATTCAAAAGCTTATCTTCATATTCATCAGGCAAACACTAGGTTATGGATGTTCTTCTCCTAATAG